CGTTCATTTCCAAGGCAGCCTCTGATTGTTTGGAAGCCGGTCTCGAGTCTTTCTTCGGGAACCCCTGAAACGGCTCGTCCCGGACCGAAGCCACGACTCTGCGCCCTGTTCACCAGAGTTTGTCAGTTGTGCTGCTTCCAGTATTGCACTGCTCCTTCCGCTCCTGCTGCTGCGACTACTCTGCTGCAACGTCTGTTGTTGCCGCCTTCTTAAAAATATAGCACGCGATACTATACTATACTATGTATACTATACTATTTTCTAGTATGCGATGCTATACTATACTATACTGAACCATGCTCTTTTTGAGGGACACAGGGGGGGGACTGTTCTGGAGCCCATGCAGGGCGATGCTCGCAGCGCTGCAGCGCGCGGGCGGCCAAGGACGCGTTGGCTCGGAGGCAGGGGGTTTAGGGGTTTAGGGGTGTAGGGTTTAGGGTTTAGGGGTGTAGGGGTTTAGGTGTTTAGGGTCTAGGACTAGGATTTAGGGTGTCGAGCGGTGCAGGGGGCTGCATTCTGGAAATGGCCACAAGGGTCAGGGTCTAGGGGGTTGGGCTTTCAGGAAGTTCGTCCTAGTGAGGACGGGATGTTAGGGTGGTTATGCGGTTTGCTGTGCTAACTCTGAAAGTTAAATTGAATTGGGGACGCTCAGAATTTGAGGGTTCAGGGACTCGGAGCACTGTTTGGGGCTTAGCATGCTCGACCCGGCAGTCTTCCCAAACTATGCAGGATTCGGGTCGCATGTGAAGCTGTCCAGAGCCACTTGAAGCTCACTTAAGGTTTGCGAGTCTACGATTCAGGGCTGCTCCAGGGATCCATGCCAGCCTAAGCAACCTTTCTCCCGTGGAGATCAAAGCCAGACTCTCCGACCACTCTGCGCCTAAGGGTTCCGGTTCCCATCTGGGCTTCGCTTTTGACTTCAAGCAGTGGGAATTTCCGAAATTAGGGGTAATACCTTATTCTGGGGTCCTTATAATAAGGATCCGTCCTACTATTATATAGGGTATCATATTAGGGTCCCCTATTTTCGGAAACTCCCTTTGTCATCCAGCAGGATGGGCAGTTCGGCCGACTGCTCCAGTCACAGGAGGACCTAAAGGCTCGCGGCGGTTTAAGGACGGTAGTGGAGGGGTTGCTCTGACCGAGGTTTAGGGTAGGTTGGATTGTGGAGACTGTCGGAACGAGTGATCCCTCGCAAGGCCCACGGCACAGAAGTTTGCAAGACAAGAACAGCCGGCGAGGAGATCTTCCGGTAACACGCGTGCGGAATTGTGGTAGAACCCCTGAAAATCTGCAACAGCGTAAGAGCTCCTGTTGTAAGCACGTGGAAGACTAAAATGTTGTATCTTGGTGATGATGATTTTTGTTCTCTTGGACCTCGCTGCGAGTATGCACTGAGCCGGCAGACCAGCATCATCAGCAGAATGATGCGTTGTTGATGGTGGTGTTCATGGTGGTGATCTTGTGGACGGTATGAACAGCACTACTGCCTAGGGTTATTGAGCGCTGCTTTCGAAAGCCCTGAACCTCCCATTGGGCCAGTCGGATCTCTGCAAGCTGGCCAGCGCTGCTCTGCGCCGAGACGACGCTGGTGGATGCGCATCCCGACTGGAAGCTGACGGGTGCTGGGGCTCAGGCTTAAAAAAAGGGGCCTCAAAATTGCCAATAGTATTTTGGAGGGTCCTTATTATATCTATATTGTATATTATACCCTAAAATGCTATTCTAATCATTATTACAGAACCTATATTACTTCGGGGGCAGATCTGTTTCCAAGGGTTGGAGATTTGGGACCGGACCTCGGCGCCTGATGAAGCCCTTTCTTGGACACAGCCCTGCCCAGAGAGCCCAATATCCCATAGGAATATACCTTAAATCATGCTATAGGGATCCCATTATTATTTATGGTATATACCTTAACTAAGGGGTCTTGGGATCTCTAGATGCCCTATTTCGCACTTGGGGTGAGCCCGCAAATAACTTGCAGATTTTAACAGCCAAACCCTCGGCCCTCGGCCCTTAAACCATCCGTAAACCCTTCTACCCTGAAGCCCCAATGGCCCTAAACCGTAAACCCTAAAACCCCTAAAGCCCTAAAGCGAGATTCAAACAGGCTCTAGAGCTCTGGTCGAAATGGGAGCTTCCCTGGCCGCCGCCAGCTCGTAGTGCATCCAAGGTGCGACGCGGCTTCGATCTGGGATTTGGGTTCAGGCTTCAGTTGAGGGTTTAGAGTTTAGGGTTTAGGGGTTAGGGTTTAGGGTGGGGTTTAGGGTTTAGGGATTTTGCTTTGAGTCAGGCGCGGCAGGGCTTTCGGGCATTGGGGGTTGGATACCAACATGTCGAGTTTAGCACTTGGGCTTTTGCTCGGTGGGATGATTACGGCCTCGACATTGAAGTCTGGAGAAATCTAAACCTAAACCCTACCTAAAGTCTCCATTGTAGTTCCTTTTTTGGCTTTAGCCAATTACATGTTTAGGATCCTACAAGGTAACCACGAAAAGGAACTACAATCGAGACTATAGGTATACCTTGGGCAGGCACCTGCCGGTGACGCCAAGGCAGTGGGCGTAAGCAAGGACTGTGGTGCAGGGTTCAGGGCTCGCAGGTGTCGGGTTTTGTGATTCGCCGCTACAAGTGGGGAGATGGCGCCAGTTACCTAAATAGTAGGTTACTAGTCATATATTGCATACCCCAGTAACCTACTATATAGGTCCGCTGGAGCCCTGAGCAATGGCAAATTCCACCACATGGTCGCCTTGAGACCAAGCTGTCAGAGACCCCAACAGATCCTTGACAGAAAGTTCGCATCCCACCTCACCTCCCACAAACCGAAGCTCGTTGCGGGAGGATGTGCGATGCAGAGTGCGGCGAAGGCGACGCTGATCCCCTAAACCCTTCAAAGGAAATTATACTGAACCCCCAAACCCCGCAAAATACCAAAAGCCCAGATTCAGATGCTGGGTCTTTGGGTGCTTGAAGCCTGTTTCAGGCAGAGGAGTGCAGGTGCAGGGCGTTTACCGACGTTTGGTGCTTCTGCTCTATGTATTGAGTTTGACACGGCTTGCGGACTTTGGTGATTAATAAGCCTTCCGTCGGACTGCAATACAGCAGAGTTAGGTTAAGTCCTAGGCCCAATGCGCTTAGTCTTAGCTTGCTCAGCTTCAACTACAGCCTAAACCCTGCCAGGATTGATGTTATTGACGATCATGTTGCCTTTGCGGACGAAGAGGATGTGATGATGATAGAAGTGGTTATGCAAGACGTAGATATTCAGCTGGACATGCATACACCGAACTGACAACATGATCATGTTCAACACGCAGGGACGTGATGATATGAAAGCTCAACGATAGACTCCAGAGCCCAGGTGGCGCCGCATACGGCTCTTTGTCACGTTTGCCTTCGGCCATGCCCGGCGGGGCACACAACCTGCGAATCGATACCTGGGCTTCCGCGTGAAGGAGCTGTGAGCAGATCGAACATTATTATTAGTATTATTCGTATTATGATTATTATTGGTATTTTTATTATTACTATTATTGTTATTAATATTATTATTAATATTATTATTAGTGTTGTCGCCGCAGCGGCTGATGGCTTCGCTTGGGACACAGGCTGACAGAGGTTTTAAACAAGCACAGGCACGGGAACCCTCAGTCATCGAGCGGTGTGCATGTCGATGTTGCCTTGTATTGTTTGCATTTTCATCAAGTACCTTGCAAAGTAAAGCCCTGCCCCACGAAGTTCCTAGAACACCATGAATATGCACTGCCAAAGTATCAGCAATGGTTACCAAGACTGGTAGAATCAGATCAATCCGCATCCGGCATCTTCGAGTCGTTTAAGACCGAGACCGAGAGTGCACATTTGTGTGTGCACGCGCCATCGCTGACATGCCTTATAAATGAAAAGCTATTTGGGATGGGGCTGCTGATCACAGCCCCGGAGCGGCAACGAGCACGGGCCTAGTCGAACCAGCCTTTGCCGAAGGAGCTGTGCGAGCAGTTCTACGAAGAGTTCGCAGGTGCTGCCATACCCAGTTTGCTTCAAAGTCGCAGGGTCAACTGACCCTTCTCGCAAGCTGTCAATACAAGCTCCGAACTTCGAACTGTTTGGGTCAGGGGTGTTTCGGTGCAAAACGGCCAAAGTTTGTCAGAGCATTGCGCGGAGCGTAGTCTTGCTCCTACAAGAATTAGAATCATTCTTCATGTTGGGTTTTTGGATAGTTAGAGCTTCTGCCATACCCAAAACTCCTGCACCTCCCCTGTCAGGAGAGGCCTCTGGTGTGTACGAAGCAGCAGCACGGCTGACATAAGCTTTGAGCCTTCGGACGGCAATATCTGCTTGTGGTATTCCTGTTGTCCACATGCTAGAGAATAGAGAAGCCGATTGCTTCTTTCTGTTTATTCCTTAGTTTTCCCTAGTACAACCAGACTGTTTTGCGGTACACACCGAAACCCACGTTTAGTGTAGAGGCCTTATATAGGACTCATAGGACCCTAAGCCACAACAATACGATTCGAGCCGGGTTTGTCGTGTTAAAGACTCGGACCTCAGATTCCCGAACACTGCACCTTGCACGCTTCAGAGGATTTAGGGTCTATATGTCTAGGGTTTACAGATATTATATCACATAACTCCGTCAAGTAAGCCTCCAAATTCAGCAACGCCTACAAACTCGAAGCTCGGATCAACAAGGCGAAATCTGTCGAGCACTTCAACCCCAACACCAGCAACTGAAAAGGAACTCTCAAACCCGAAAACCCCCACACCCTGAGATGTAGAACCCGTGCCACCTTCAACAAGGGTCCCTCCTCGTAGAACCCTTGTAAAACCCCTTGGACTTACCTAGACCGCCTAACTACCCTGTAGTGTAGCCCCTAATTGCCTCTTAATGAGAAATATCAGAGCCCTAAACCCTAAACCCTAAATCCAAATCCCTAAACCCTAAACCCTAATTGCCTCTTAATGAGAAATATCCGTCCTGGTAGACCCAGGTTATGCACCATGCCCGAAGAGTTGAGATCGAAAGGAACGTGGAGGCCCTACTAAGAAAAGGGGTTGTCATGATTGGAACATGTAGGGTTTTGGTGTATATTTTAGCATAGCAGCATAGCTGTAGATATTATAGTCTATAGTGATATCAAGGAACCCCAAGGACGAGTATTGCTAGTTTTTTCCGGCTGATACATTATAGCACTTTAGTCGTTCAATCCAAGGGATAGTCTTCTGTCAAGGGTTCCTGGCCTTGGTCTCGAGGTCTGAGCTTTGCTCTTCACTAACTTTGGCAATGACCAGAACTTGAACATCGAAATCGAACTCCTGCTTTGGGAAGCTCGGGCATGCATGCCAGTACTGCAACCAGCAGCCCTGCGCTACAGCAGAAAGACACTGCCACCAACACAGACCAATCCGACCACCCCGAGCAAAAAACACCCTAAAGATGGATCGCGAAGCTTTCGATTCTTCAAGTCATGTCTTGAACATATTGCATTCGGTGGACAAGAAACTTGAGAGGAATGTTGTCTGTACGATAGTACCATCATCATTAATGCCATCATCACTGTTACTGACACAGTCAGCGGCATGTTTTCGCATGTTCGACGACATGTGTGCAGTTGCGATGACGACAGTACCTGTGGGAAAAGTCGGACCGTGCGCTGGGAATGCTCTCGGGTTCAATGCTAGGTTATCAGCCAGAGTATGTAGTCGCCGCTGCGAAGCAGAAGAAGTGGAATGTTCTGCGATCGATGCACGGCGACAGGCCCTGTTGCGGGAGAAGATCCAAAAGAAGAGAAAACCGGAGAAGTTGGAGAAGGACTGCTTGGGGGGCTAAGACTAAGAGACTGAAGGGTGGGCGCTTGAGGTGCGACAAGCGCGGTAAATCGTGCAAATTCTTGTGGAAGGTTGCTTATCACCCATGATGTCGTTCGGCGATGGTGAACATGCAAGTTGATGGTGATGCGTGTGATGCTGGCGATGGTTCCAGTGCAGATGCTCGCCGATGCTGCTGATGCTCATGCTGATGGGTGATCATGAGCATGATGGTCACGATGATGAATGTTGATGGCGGAGGTGAACTCCGTGTGCACAGATGCTGGGACCAGGCGAACCAGGATCAATCTTTCTGAATGCTTCTACAGGGCCCCGATGGGCAGAGTTATTGGGATGTGCTAGGAGCGAGTTAGTTGGCGATGGCGTTGCTTGAAGCTACATTGCCAGGCTCCCCTTAAATCTCACATCTGGCATGATGCAGGCCTTACCATGAGCATTGCCTTCAAACGCCGGACCGGAAACCTGAGAAGATCTGATCATCTATGGATGAAAGTTCCAACCTTCCTCCCCAAGATGTACCCTCAGAGCCACTTGAAGACAACCCTGAAACCCGCATATGCTCTCCTCAGCCAGGAAGACTCACTGAGCTTCGATGAGATTGAGCGAGAGATGGCTGATCGCTACAACCAGGCGCTTCTAGGCTTTCGAGCAACGGGTTTAGGGTTTTGGGTTCAGGGTTTAGGGTTTGGGGGTTTAGGTTTTAGGGTTTGGTCCAAAGTACGTACCATTTGTGGAGTTTTCGGATTGCAGGATTCCTGTACCACCCTCTTCGGCTACCTGAGGGACTTTCTCCATGCAAAGTCCGACATCAAGTGCCGAAATCCGCACATCCCGAAGCCAACAATCAGAGCCACAAGAGTTGATTGTTGGCTTGTGACGTCCTGTCGACTGAGGTTCGAGGAGGCTGGCGGCATAGATGAGGTGCAGTGCCATGTGGGTGAAGTGAGCTGAGGATGCAATCAGAGTACTCGCGTAATAAGTCTTAGATCAAATAGAAGTTCCGGATCCCAAGGTGAGGATCCCTCAACGCGCTTCCACGATGGTGAAGGGCGTGGGTTGCTTGCACATGACGAAATGTACGAAAACTCGAGTGGTTCAGCTGACAGACAAGAATGAAGCTCCAGCATGTTCGGAAGCCTGGGTCGGAGCGCTGGAAGAGCTGGGTGCACAAACCATATTGTTCTCGAGCTGTACAGGGTAGAGTTGAAAAGGGTGACCTCAGGGGTGAGTTTGATTCCCCCAAGCCCGGCACGCCCAATCCAGATCGCAGGACAACCCCGACACGCTGGGTTCAAAACACCCAAACCCAGAAGCCCTAAGCCCCCAAACTCTAAAGCAATGCAGTCTCAGCTTTCTCAGGAATGAGCTGGCCCGAAAGTACCACCGCGGGCGCATTCGGCAGGAGTCTGGTCCTAGCCATAAACCTATTCCACATGTTCAGGCCGGTAAAACCCTGTCAGTCTTGATACGATCAAGTCTCATATACTGCCCATGCGTGCCTTTGTCACACTTTCCGTCGTCGGCTTCTCGTGCACCTTGTTACTATGCATGCATATATTTAGAGTGGCATCCCGACAATCTGAACTCTAAGCCCATACCCTTTCACCCAAAAGGCGCCAGGCCGAACCTAAAACTTGCACCTTGCGACTACCGACTCTCCACAGACCTTCTGCCCGCTTTGGGGGAGCTGCGATACCCTTCCCTCACGATACTAAGTCCGGATAACTCCATGAGCCCTTCCATCAAACCCCTATGCACACTACACCCTGAACCCTCAACACCTTTCAGGCAACTGTTCGGAGATCCCCGAAGTGCAGGGTATCGTTGTGTACTACCGCTGCCACTACGACTACTACTACACTTGGCGGCCTGGTCCCGATGGCCACGGAGGTTCTGTTTAAATACTTGCGAAGCTGCATGGTCAATAAGCGTCACCATACTATTTCCACCACCACTACAGCGACGACGACTGTTCAGACTGTTACTAATTCCAGTTGTCTCTGCCATTAACTTTTTCTTCCTGGTCTGCATTTTGAAGTGGGGCATTCCGCCGTTAACTCTTTTTCCAGGCTTGCACTTTGCATTGGGGCATCGTGAGGACGCAGGCATCGAAATCCTCGGCTTGAAAGCGCTGTGCCTCTGAAGCAGGGGATCGGGTTCGGTGTTAGAGATTAGGGATGGAGTTGTCGGCTTTTTCGTAGCGAGGTGTATGCAAGATGCAAACCCATGTACGTGTTGCTTTAGACGAGCGAGCGGCGAAGCTTGAATCCGTAAAGCTTTTAAAGCATCTCCCCTCTTTTGCATTTGGCCTCGGGCTTTGAGGGAGTTGTTGGACGGTGTAAAGTTTCCAGTTTGGACAGCATCACACTGTACTTTGCTCCTGTGCAGTTCGGATATTCGTTTCCAGACCCCTTGTTGATGTGTGTTGTACTTCATTCTGTTGGCTGGGCTCGCACGTATACGATGCCAGAATTCGAGGAAGTGTTTTCGTTCGTCTATGGTCCTATGGTCCTATGGTCCGGCTTGCCTTTGTCGGCATCGCAAGCCATACCTACACTCTAACCGTCTCCAACCGTTGTCGGAAGAGCAGGCCTTTCCTACCGACTCGGAACTGAAGAACTTCGAGAATGTGTCCTCCCATAGTTTTTGTCCAAAATCACTCCGCGGGGAGCTTTGCCGAGTAGACCTATATAGGCAAATCCATCCTGAAACTTTAAACCTTGAATCCCACCCCAAGCCCAAGCCCTCAAAGCAAAATGTGCCAGCATCAGGTACGATCTCAACACCTTCTGGTGTCTTGACTCCTTGGAGTTCTCCTGGGGCTGAGGTTGACCCTGGGTTCGTGGTTCAGGATTTAGGGTTTGAGGTTGAGGGTTCAGAAATAGAAGCGGCATGGGAACTCTCTCGGAGCACCTTTCTTTCAAGTTCTGGCACGGTCTGTATGCATGTATGTATGTATGTATGAACGTAGGTATGTATACATGGATGTCTGTCTGTCTGTCTGTCAGTCTGTATGTATGTATGTGTGTATGTATGTATGTATGTACGTATGTATGTATTTACTTGCGTATGTGTGTTTGTATATGTGCATGTATGTGTGTATGTATGTATGCATGCATGCATGTATTTATGCATGTATGTATGTATGTAATCATGTTTGTATGTAATCATGCATGTATGGATGTATGTATTTATGAATATATACATGTACGCATGTAGTTAGTTCCTTATCCTTTTTTGTCTACGCACCACTGTTCTATACGTACTATATGTATTGTGTTATTTTTGCTGTCTTTGCCTTCGCACACATGCACTCGTTTTCATATATTACTGTCGTCTACATCAGTGTGTATGTATGTGTTTAATACTGTCGGTATGATATGATATCACATAAAACATAGAACCAAACATGTTAGAGTCGAGTCGATAGAATGTCATATCGTGTTATTTGGTTGCATATTTCATATAGTACCATACCATACACTATACAATATTGCATAACACAATATTTCCGTGAACATAACACACTCTGATACAACACAACACCAAAATTAAAATACCAAAAAGCAAAATGTAGTAACCGAGTATCACTCCATACAGTGATGGTCTAATCCATTATGGCATATGTGACGTAATGTACTATGGCCTATGGCTGAAAATAACATCGTGTAGTTTCATCTGGTACAGTTATATGAGTATGATGCAGTGTAATATTGGACTAAGCTATTGGACTAAGCTATTGGACTATATCTCGTGACCTTGCATATTGTATTGCTATGCAAAACTCGAATATAGAGTTACATAAATATACGTTTACACATACATATACATACATATTATCTATATATATATGTATATATATATATATATGGATGTTTGTATATGCACACACACTCTTAAATGATCTTAAATGCATGTAGGCAGGCCCTCGGCGGCCAAGCCCGAAACTTGAACTCAATGTCATGAGTCCCGGTTGGCTTGGCCTAGGATGGAGAAGTTCAACCTCGAGGCAGTGAGACCACGGACCTGGATACAGCCCAACTTCCCCGACTCTCTACAGTAAGAGTTTAGGGGGTAGGGTCGTTAGAGGGTGTTTGATTCATTCAGGGTTAAATGTTGAATGTTCACGGCCTCCAAGCTTCAGAGGGTTAACATAGGGGTCGGAATCATGTCCCCTTATGGGCCTTTATACAGGTATACTACACTATCCCCCAAACCCTTATCCTAGTGAATATTGACCCGATGCTGTGGTAGCTATTCAGACACCTTCCATGCGGGCATTCAGCTTCGGCCCCCGAGGGTGCCGAAGCCAAAAGTTTGGGGACTAATGCTGGGATGAACAACCATGATCTGTGCGACTATCCTTTTGGGTTGTACTTCCCAGCATTATCACCGTACATGACGAGTGAGCATGTACCTTTTCGATTTACGGCTTTACGGCATGCTAACCCCAGAAGCCCCAGTCGTGTGGCGTGGTCCTTGCAGCAGACAAGTTAGGATGTCCTGTTTCAGATATTGGTGGGCTTCCATTGGCTCCCTTCCTCTGCACCCGTCTCACGTAAGCGAACATGGAACACCGAATAGCCCTCTTCTAAAGGACATGGACGCTCAGACTGTTCAAAGCTGTCGCAGGGCCTCTTTTTGAAGGGCACCTGCCAATCTGGATCACCTATTAAAAGCGAAGCCCAGCACAGAAGAAGCTCCATGTACCCTGGAGGCCTTAATACAAGACAAGATAAAGGTTAGGCGTTTCCTACAGTATATGTCAACAAGGGACTCTTGGAACAGCACCCTCGGCCTTGGCGTTGAAGGTTCAGAGTCTAGGGTAGGAGGTTGCGTGGTCTCCACTTCGGCGTTGGGGACATGAGCATCCGACTTGCTTCATCAACATGATGATCCACCTCTACTGATGCTATGAAGCCACGAAGTCTATCACTTCAAAGTTGGAGACCCTCAGCTGTAAACCCTAAACCCTAAACCCCTAAGCCTCTGAACTCGAGTTTTGGCAGGTCCAACGCATCGCAAGCCACACAATCGGAATCGCCCAGGCTTGCCCTTGCTGTACCCAGAGGCCCCAAAGTAGTTCCTTTTTGGGGTTCGTATATAGAATCCTATAGGGTAATCCCAAAAAGGAACTACTTTGGGGCCTCTGGGTAAAGGGAATGCTAGCAGATCGCTGGGAGTGCTGTTGATGGACAAAATCCTGCATTACCCATTATAAGGAATAGACCATAATTCCCATAGTTTAGAGTCCTTAGGGTCATGCAGGATTTTGTCCATCAGCAGTAGGATGGAGAGTGAGAGTGGGAGGAGAAGTCGCAGTAGGGGTCGCCGTAGCAGTAGCAGCAAGAGCAGTATAAGGAGCATCACACCTGCCGATGATGTCATTTACTGTTATGTGTACGTTGTCATCATGATCATCATGACCAGTATGAATCATGGGCATTATGCTTACCATCATCCTTATGAGTTGCGAAAGGCATCTTCAAAGTGTTGCCGACCATTTTGGGGACTTCCAAAAACGGACCCAAATTTAGAGAGCGACCCATATGCACAGAGCTGGGAGTGTTCTGGTTTCCGGTTTCGGCTCTGGGACACTCCCATATATCCTTAGACTCAGACCTGGAAGGAGAAACTGAAAACCAAAAGCTTTCAAACCTGAATGAGAACTTCTGGCTTAGGAGTTTCGGATGAGCAGCCGCCGTTGCGACGAGATTAATCAGCCATGTCCCACCATGTTGCAGCCGGAAGACTCTCAATCAAATCATTCAAAGCTCACACATGGAATTCGAACCCTGGATGCTAAACGCCGGAGCGCCTGACCCAGACCGAAATCTTCTGAAGGCCCGAAGCCCTAACGTATGCACCATCACCACCCAACTCTGGCGTAGATAAGCCAGATAAGCCCTAAAACCCCTAAACCCTTAAACCCCTAAACCCTAAACCCCTAAACCCTAAGCCCTAAACCCAAAAGCCCTAAACCCTTCCCTAATCCATGCCAGATCCCGCCGCTGAAGGGCTACAGCCGGGCCCGCACCAAGGCAAGGTTAGAAGGGTTAGGGTTTAGGGGTTTATAGGGGCTTAGGAGTTTGGGGTTTAGGGTTTATAGGGGTTTAGGGTTTAGGGGTTGGGTTTAGCGTTTATAGGGGTTTATAGGGGTTTAGGGGTTTGGGGGGGTATAGGGTTTAGGGTTCAGAGCATACATGAGGTTTAAGGCCTTGTTCACTTACAACAACTAATGGTTAATTAATGGGGCTTGAGGCTCCAAAACAGGGCTGGGGGTTTATCATGGCTCGGCATTCTAGATTTGGAGTTAGAGTTTAGGGAGCAACAAGGCCCCACCATCCAAAAAACGCAACAATAGCCAAACTGCCATCTCTTACGGCGAGGCGACGGTTTGAGGTTAAGGATTTCTGGGGTATGCAGGCATAGTAGTAGTGCCACTACCCTTCGTGGGCAACTCGAGTCTCATGACATTTCTTGGCTCTGCTGCAATATCCCCAGAAACAAACAGAGGCGTCTCAGACTCGAAACCTGAAAGCCCCTATGTAAAGCTTCTGGGACGTGTTCGAGGTGTCTTCCAGTTCGAGAGGTCAGGATCTGTCGAAGCTACAGAAGCTGAGGGTGGGGGGGCAGCCTTTGAGATTAAGGGGGGTCCGAATTCGGAACTTGGTTGAGGTTTGTGGTTTAGGGTTTGAGGCCCTTCTAAATCCTAAGCCCCCAAAACCCCTTAACCGGTATGCGGTGCAGGTTCTCACACGCTACGGCAACGACTGCGGCTGCCTGACTGATGTCATGCGCGCCTCCGTGATCTACAACAGCATCGAGGAGGCCGATAGCATGGGTCAGAGTTATGGCTGTCGTGCTTAGGAAAGGATGAAGATTTAGGCCAAAGGTGTCGGAAGTTTCTGTCGGTGTGGGTTATTTTCTGATGGTGTATGATTACTTTGTTTAGGGAACCCTTGGGTAAATATACGATGCTGCGTACTTTCTGTATTATAGGGGGAACCCTTGACTTGTCATCGATGCTGTCACCAGACCTCCGAGAGCCCCCCCCCCCCTGAGATTTAGAGCCGTTGGTCTCTACTTAGAGGATCATGGGACCTAGTAAGTAGGTTATAATTAGGGTTATAAGTCCCCTAAGTGGGGTTATCCTAATTATAACCTACTTATATCCTTACTTACTAAGTCCCATGATCCTCTAAGTAGACTCTATAGAGCCATGTTTGGGTGGTAAAAGGGCGACTACAGGGTTAAGGGCTAGGTTCATATGGGTAGCTCTCCAAATCAGGGTCCCGTTTTAGGTCCCCAGAATAGCACGGCACCCTTATTACAAGGACCTTTAAAGGGACCCTGATTTAGAGAAGAACCCATCGTTTGCTTAATTTGGCGACAAACCTTGTCCAGGTCTACAGCGCTCTGCGCTATCTCCTGCGTGAAGATGCGCTGAACCCACGCAGCTGCGATGCAGCAAGTGCTACCGTGGGCCTCCTCCAACGAAGAAGACCTGCTACCGGTGGTCATAACGATGATGTTACTGCTATTGTGGAAAGAGTGTGGTGCTGTAATTAAGGTTGCGCGAGAGGCTTCATCCTTCTAAGTTGTACAAAGCGTTCCGATCTGTGACGACCCTACATGCCAACAGCACTTGAAGTTATACAGCCTTTATAAGCCTTAGACTCACAAACCCTTTCGCAGTCGTCTTTCCGGGAGCTCGCAACCACCGTCTGAAGCTGAAACTTAATCCCGTCGCCTCAACCGCCTATGCACAAATCCGAAGCGAAGCCTTCGACCATAAATCCCAGCTTCACAGCAGCAAAGCGCAGTGAAGCCCCAGACCATGTTTTAGCACAGATCCAGAGCATCAGAACATCGTACATCTACGAAAGTACGTGCAACTGCAGGTAAGTAGAATTTCGTTGCACCCTCGAACTGCGTGTAGTATCGAATCTTTGGCTTGGGCTACGGAGATCCGTCAAATCGCTTGCCCCTTGGATCGAGCTCTGACCCTGAAGCTCCGAACATAGAAGCTTGGGTACTTCGCCATATCATTCCTTCGGGCTCCTTTATACACTTAAGATATCACATGTCACATGCCCCGAAACCAGACTCTGTTCATCACGACCCATTGAAGAAGATTCTTCTAAAACCCACACAAAATATTTTGACAACAACACTTGAAACCCCAGCTAGAGCCCCTACGAAACGCCCCCGTGAAACACACCCATAAAGAAGCTACAACCTGCAACGCCTTCATATAAGAAACAAGAGCTTCTTTTACGAAACCCTAAACCCCAAACCCTAAACACTAAACCCTAAACCCCAAACCCTATAAGCCCTTTTACAAAACACCAAAGCAAGAGCCCGCGGCTCCTCAGGACCCGACCTGGCTGTTGTGGAAGTGAACGACAGGTTTCAAAATTGCTTCTTGGGCCTGTGAATGAGGCTTTTGGGCTTTATGGTTTCAAGCTTTGCTCGGTTTTATAGGGTTTCAACATGAAAGGGTTTAGGGTTTAGGGTTTAGGGTGAAATTGCTTCTGGGCTTGTGCACAGGCTTCGGTAGGATAAGGCAGGTAGTACACTCACGGCCCGAAAGACCGAGCCCCTGAGCCGGCGGAACTCTTAAACCGGTTCGAGCCCTTCGATATACCATGGGAGCTTGGTACTCAGGGATTTTAGGGCTTATGGGGTTTATAGGGTTTTAGGGCTTTTACAGTTTGTAGTTTTTTTGTTTTACGGCTTTTTGGGTTTATAGGGTTTTCTGGGTTTAGGGAGCAAGACCCGGGTCCCCCGAACCCCCGCCTGGCGAGAGGTCGCGAGGGCTATAGAGACATCAGTCTCCTCTTCGACCTGCTCCTTGGCTCTTTCTTGCGCAGAAGTGTTAGGATGGCGACAGTGGCTTAGGATTCGTTTTGAGGGGGCTAGAGTCTATGTTTGGAGTGAGGTCCTCGTGGGTATAATCCGAAATCTGTAGGCGCTCTCTTCTTTATCTCAGAACCGTTGGGCGCAGACGTGGAGGACTGGAATCGCTCGGTCTGCTCTATCTGGGCTTGGGGATTAGCGGATTTGTGAAGGTTTCACTCGTGTCTGTAGCCAAGGGTGAACAATGGTCAGTGCTCGGTAAAGCGCTTGATAGTGGCGATTGCAAGATCGCGAATGTTTCACTCCCAAGAGCCCTGAGGGCGGTGAGCCGTGTGGTTTGAGGGCTTCGCAACACGTTGGGGTCACAGCAACTCCCTTCCGAGGAGTGGTGTAATCTGTGAGCTCCAGCTGCACATCAAGGGCATCATCGACGCCCGGACGATGTTACGTAGTTACTTAACATCGGGACCTTTATCTGTCGCACAAGGTTTTGGGATATATCATACTATGTTTATATAGGGACTATGGGACCAGTTCTATTGCTAAACGATTTCGGCCTCCATGTTACCAACCACTAACCTCTGCTTAGGGCTTATCACGCTTTGGCGAGGTATACCCAGGGTATACCCGAAAGCTGAATCCCTACTTAAAGGCTCATGGGACTTAGTAAGGTTATAAGTAGGATATAATTAGGATAACCCCACTTAGGGGACGTAGAACATGATCCTCTAAGTATACCCGAAATCCGAATCCCTAAACTGCACAGAAGCCCAAGCTCGCCAGCATGGTCGGAAAGGACCCGCACTCTCACCCAGACGCCGTCAAATCGCTACGCAGCGAATGCCAAGTAGAGTTTAGGGTTTAGGGTTTCCCAACCCAAATGTTAAGATGCTTTGGCGGTGACGGGAGCAGTCTACCGGCAGTTCACTTGTTGTAGTGACCAGTACGGCACATACTGGTATAGACTGCGCAGGCCATCCTAATTAAATTCCACGAGACTGAACAAATATGCGAGTTTCAATCTGTGAATGCGCAAGCACGCACACGCGCGCACAAACGGAAGAACACCAAACCGAGCAGACAGCGAGGCAAGCATGTGTATGTGCACGTGCATGTATGTATGCACATGGGCACATGTGTCTGTATGTATGCATGTATGCATGTATGTAATGTCCCGAAGCAGCAACTGAACACCCTTCGCCTTCTCGTGCGCTGCTCGCAGCGCTCGCACGCCATGTGCCACGAGGATGCCAAGAAGTCGGGAGGCCACAAAGCTTACCGAGCGCCTCGGCAGCATATTGTCGGGTTTGAGTTCAGGGGCTCGGGGGGACTTTTAGGGTGAAGGCCCATGAAGGATGGTGTACTTGTTCTTTGCATGGTTCTTCTTTTTCCGTCTAGCGCTGGCTGTGTTTTTCTCATCGCAGCTGTCAGCATGGTTATACATTATACATGCTAAGTCTCCTCCTCCATTTGTGCTTGAACCTGTGGTATACACTGATGACGCCCCGATTCCTCAGAGGTGCAGCGGGAGGTGAACGAGCTGGTTTTCGAGGCTTCCGTCCAAAACAGCGCGCAGGCGGCAGACGCCGAAATAATTATTATAGGAGCCTTAATGGGTAGAATAGGGTATAGGGCCGGGTTCCTTTGAAAGGTTCCTGTCAGGGCTACTACAAGGGTACTATGATATAGGGGCCTTAACAATTGGAATAGGGTTTTGGGGCCCATTAATACTATACTAAGCAACCCCCAAAATAGTATGGGTAATCTTTTTGGACCATATATTACCCGTTTCGGTGATTTGATGGACGTGGCGCCTTAATCCTCTGGTGTTTTTTGTGGGTTCACGGTGCAAGAGTGCAAAACCTTGGGCTGTCAGGGTTGCATCCTGAAAACAAAAGCCCAAAAAAACCCAAAACCCTTGACCGCTAACCCTAAAACCATGCACCCTGAAGCCCTGTACACCAAAGCCTGACGCCTTACACCCGGAAAGCCGACGTAAAGCCCTAAACTCTTAGATCGTTTGGGGATCTCGCAGCTATTTGCCGGGACTTGTTTGCAAGACGGAGCCCAGAGACCAAAACTGGCAACTGAGTTCAAAAACAGCAGAGTATCCCGAAGGCTTCGGGGAGAGAGTCTAGTGGTTTTGGAGGTTTAGTGGTTTTAGGTCTTGGGGTTTAAGGTTTAGAGTTGACCACCCAGGAACAAAGGAGCGTGATTACTTGAACTCTTGAGGTTGCAGACAAGACCAAGATTTTCCCTATCATGCAGTCGCATGTTAATGTCCCGTGTTTCGTTGCTGTTACGCGCGCAGGACTTGTCAAACCTCATGAAGGCATATGACATTCGTCGGCACAGCACGCGCGACAAGAAGCTTGGCGGACAAATGGGGCCCAGGCAGTCCACAGGCACGGATAATTTTTGTCTTCTCATGGGAACGGAATCATCAGCTTTATGGTGTTCTGCGAGAGTTCCATGTGTTTGTTGACTTCGTGTTGCGCAGTAGTCCGCAACCAAACAGGCGAGTCCAATCGCAACCAAGTGTCTGACTTGAGGACTGGAGATATGTTTTCTCACCTTCTTGAACATTGGTAATCGCTTCAGTATCCCGGCTCTACTGAACTACAGATTCGTCGATGAGTCGAAACGGAGATCCGTGTAACCTTTGCGAAGTAACTTGAGTTTACTATGACCAGTATTGGTCTCCGACCTGTTGCTAGTGCTTTCTCAGCCCACTCTTTTCGCTTCGCTCATGTCCGTGCTTCACTGTTTGCCATGCTTAGAGTATGACCTCTCTTTACTACCGCCGTCACCAGCACCACGCAGCAAACGACGATCATGAGCCCTAGTCTCGTGATGATGCATGCCGTTGCAATAGCTACGTACCTGTCCAGTTTACACCATCGCTCTTAGCCATGATCATCTACATGAGTTGGTTTTTGTCTTTCTAACCTTCAGCAGCGCCATCCTGATCTGCGAGAGAGAGGACTTAGCAAGATGATGCTCGTACTGAATAGACGAAGCTATCAATCCCCGTCCCGACACCCTGGTCCGTATCAGGAACGGCCGCTCCTCTCTACACTACGCCGCTCAGCACGGCTCCTTGAGCTCCGCTCGTGTTCTCCTCGCCACCGGGAGCTCAGGGCTGGGAAAAACATGTTTGGACATGGAAGCTTCAGAGAGGAACTCGTCAGAACAACACAGAACAGAAGTAGTAATGAGAGCAAGAGTATTTCTGTTGTTAGTTCTGTAGTCGTGGCCGTTCGCTCCACTTCTGCATTGTTCGCTGTCGTAGTCTACATAGACTGTAGGACCGTAGGACGAGACCCAAGGTCTCAACCCAAGTTCAATCCCTGTGAACTCTATGGTCTTTTATGTGCATGTAAATACTCTCGGCTGACAAACCCATGTCGAAACATCCTACACATTCGACCCAAGCCCCAAGCCCTGAAGGTCGCGAAGGTGTAATAACTGTACCACGGTTAAAAACGAAGCTTCTAAAGCCACACTACAACACTCTCAAAGAGTTCTGATTGTTCAGGCCGTTGCACTTATACCCTCAATCCCGAACCCATACTAGCTTCAACATCTAAAACCGTCTTCAATATCTTACGTCATCAACCGTAGTGCCCAGCCTCACAATCAGCATCAAGCCAAGCCCTTCTAATGTAGGTCGTTAACAATTATTTGGGAGGTATATTTTACTTCGGCTAGAATAAGGAACCCCCAAATCCCGATTGAAAATTTTTAGGCCCCTACATTATCCTAAATCATAAACCCATACTGGCTTCTACAGTAGGGTTTAGGGTTTAGCCCCAACGGTCCGAGTACCTAATAATCACATACTTTCCAAAAAGTCCTAACCTACATAACTACTATCCTAGAGCCGAGTACCCAAGTATTGGGTCCTTTGGACCCTTATCCTAACCCTTCTATGGTAAATTATAGGGTATCCTACCATGAAACCATATGCCAACTTTCTGGAGATCCCTTTAGGGGATCCCATGCCCTCTCGACGATTTCAGGAGCGACCCATGGGCTGAGGATGACGCAGGAGCCTCTCAGCTAGTAAGAGAACGGATGCATTGCGGTTAATTTTGGGGGCCTTAATAATTATAGGGTTCCTTTAAAGGGTGCGGTTAATTTTGGGGGCCTAAATAAGTATAGGGTTCGTTTAAAGGGATCGTTAACGCGGTCTATATGGGATCTATAATCGGGTTCTGTAGTACAGGGGCCTTAAAACCTACCTACCAATACTATTGTGGTGTTCCCTCTTATAAATATAGTATAATGGTCTCAGCTAGTATACCTTGAGCTCCAGTTACCCAAATAATAGGTTACTGAGATATATGATAGATGTTTAGTAACCTACTACTTAGGTAACTAGAGCCCCGGGGTAAGGGAACGGATGTATTGGGGTTAGGGTTTACGGTCTAAGGTTTACGGTATGTCTAAGGCTTATAAGGTCGCACATGTAGGGCTTTGGCGAGGAGATTGACTACTAAACGGTGTAAACATACAGGCTCAACGGACCAACGTTTAATGTCTCGTCGTACCCGGTTAAAGGACTCGATCAAAACCTCCGGCAGCTCGCCCCTCATGCCTTCACACCGAGGCCGAACGAAGCGAAGCCCCCTCTGAAATGAACTTGCGACCTTGCTCACACACTACAGACTTCTATGGAAGTCGTCTCCACAATTTTATGGAACAGAGCCTACATAAAGACAACTCCTCTCCACAATTCTATGGAAGTCCTCCGCGGCCGCCACTTACCCTAAGAGAGCAGCCGTTGGCGCCTAGGTGATACCTTTCGAAGTCGCCTTGAAGGGGAAGTACTTCGATGCAGCATCCATGCTCCTCTCCGCCATGCTCCAGCAGGAGCATAGCTTGGCGTCTGAAGCTTCAGGCGTTTATGGGTAAGCCTTGAGAAGACGCACCAAAACATCAAAACCTAAATTGACACCCCGCATGGTAGAATCCTTTTTGCTGGGGAACCCGAAGTAACTGCCCAAAAGCGCAGGAGCCTTCATAAGAGTTTTAAATCCCTGGAGGAACCCATCAGTCGGGGCTGTCTAGCACGTCTGGCACAGCACGTCGCACCTTTGGCGATGAAGTTCTGGGTGATTTTGTAGGGTGCATAAGGGAAACAATAGGGACCTCACTTAGGGTCCGTGCACCGTAGCATTTCGTATTGAGGGTCCCTTATAAGGTGTCTGTATCGCCATGCGGCAGTTGGGGTTCAGGGAGCTTGAGAACAAGGAATCCCACCAACAAAAGCTAGTCTCGGGATCATGTGGAGTGTACCGTGAACTCCAAAGTTCAAGATAAGTGTGTAATGCTCTTCTACAACTCAGGCAGAGCCCAGATCAAGCTCCGATCCAGAAAGGAGAAGCAGATAGGGGTCAAGCAAGCAGGACTTGGAGCAAGCCCTTGACTTGAACTCATTCATGACCAGGAAGCTTTCGATACCCTGCCAACAGCTGAAGCTGTAAACCCCGAACAGAAACCGTCAATCTTGAAACCTCACGATCAGAGGTGCCCTGGTGGTGCGGAAACGTTGCATCTTGGGCCAAAGTGATTGCGAATCCTTGGGACCTCTTGTTGGGGCGGCGGCTGTTGACTCGAGCTGAATTTCCTTCCATGCCAAGCAAAGAGCAAAAAACGTTCCTGCAGGCGTCGTAGACAGAGGATCCACAGATCATCAATGCAGTCCGACCGCGATTCCTCGCTGCGAGTCACCACGTGCCTGGTTCCAACGACTAAAGCCAATTCGGGTGTAGGGTGAGGGTGTTTTGATCAGCTTTCTGCTTCCTGCAGTCAAGGTATGCCTACCCTTCGCCGATCCAGATCTGATGCGCTGGCGAGACATCGGACTGCTAACATGTTCGCGCAAGGCTTCGTTTGACTGGAGAGTTTGCAGTGCTCTCCTAAACCCTAAGCCCGTGGAGATCTTGTTCGGAGTGACTCAGTTACGTTGACGAAGGAAAACCCCATCCTAGAGCAGCCCCCGACAGACAGTCGGGACAGTTGGATGGAACAACCGTTCAAGGGACAATACTCATTGATTCTCGTTGTTTTGCTTCGGATTCTGCGGGTAATTAGGGCTTCGCTCTGCGTGTGCAGTGTTTGTGGTCGCTGTCATATGCTTGCCTGAAAGAGAGTCACGCTAGGAGGACACAAGCCCTCAAGACATTCAAGGATAAAATGTGATCCGTCGTAAGCAGTCGAAGTTTCACGATTTCCACGGACCAGATGTTTGGAATCGGATTGTTGATGCGTTGCTGTGGGGTGTCCAGGCTCAGGCTTCAATTTCCTTATGGCATCCTATCCCCAAACCTTGTCTATAGAAATCAAGGACCCCGACATAGACCTTCAAGCCCTGCCCCACGACCCTCGCGCCAGAGCGGCAGGACGTTTGATGATGGATGTCCTCCGCAGATACAAGGTCACTTGTCGGGCGTGGGGTTGGATTTGGGGTTGTGCAAGGATGGTAAGACTTGCGTCGTAAGTTGCCAGTAGGCGCGTCTCAGCAAGGAGAGACGGCTGTTCTCCCGGCGGAGAAAGTCAAGTCTAGTAAGCTTGCTGTTCAAGTCCGAACACTCAGTACCAGACCTTAAGCTTGAACTCCAAGAGGCCATGAACCTGCTTGAAGATGTGCTCACTGGTGCAGCGAAGAGGGGCGCTGCGGCGACTTTGTGACGTGATCAGGACTTAGTGACTTTGTATGAGTTTGCAAGCCTTCAGGGTTTGCAACTGATAGTTTTGTCGTGCACAAATAAAGTTCTGGAGTGAAGGTTACTGCAATCATCAGTATCGCTTTCGATCACAGCGTTCGTACTCAGAAAGTGATCGGCTTTTGGGCTCATAGTTTTGAGCTAGAGTTGCTGGGCTGGTATGGTGCTGAGTGCAGGGCTGGTTCGGGCTTTCTCAGGGTTGAGCTGAGGGTATTCTTCAGTTTGGGGCTTTTTCAGCGATGTGTCAAACATGAGACCAGCCAACGGGGCGGCCAAACAGCCAATGTTTCGAGACCCGGCCATAATAATTACAGTGCTTCCCGAGATCCAGCCAGCGCACCGTTGCCTGAGCTTACTATGCAAACGAGGCACATCCCGAACAGGCCCGCAGGCCATGCAGGAAGCTTAGAAGCCTGTGAACCGCAGGGGTTTGGTGCTGCGGACGGGTTTTCGGGTCTAGGAGACCTTTCCCACCCGAAAAGAACCATTGAATGTATGCCGGCCTTGCTTGGTAGACTGGCATGAAATATGAAGCCGCGATCCAAAATCTTCAGGGATCAAGTGCAATGCCCAAACCCCAAACCTCACGGCAACCCCAGACCCCTCGACACTGTTACACCCTAAGCTATACAGAACCACCAGAAGAGCCCTTTAGGGTTTAGGGTTTAGGACCTTGTTCAAGGAACGCTGAGCGCCTAAATGTATGCAAGTGCAAGGCGGGCGCTTCTCAGTGCTGGAGCGGTGCCTTTGGCCAGTTGATTGGCTCGGGCACTTCGCACCCTACCACTGCTGCATGCTACGACAGCAAACGCGATGACCACGACAGAGACTACTACTAGGCGTCACACGCGTGTTCTATAATGGCTGACGAGCTGTATAGTGGGACAAGCGAAAGTACGATGAATCTTTACAGCATATTTCGGGTTTCTCGGAAAGTGTTTTTTCGCAAAGCCGCATGTCGAAGCTCCTTCAACTGCTACGACTACTGAGGAAGATGCTGATGATGAGCATGAGTAATGGTGAGAGGCCCACCAATCTCGTCTGGAGGGCTCCAAAACCAGTAGGAGCAGTAGAAGTAGCGGTAACAGCAGCAGCTGCTGCAAAAAGCAGCACTAGCAGCAGCAGTAGTGGCGCTCCTACTTGATCGCGAGACTTTGCGACCGCGACTACGACTGCTCTGCTACTACTAACCCTAAACCCTAAACCACTTTACTACTGCCCCTGCTTGGCCAAGGACCAAGTGCTGGGTAGTGGGAAAGAGTCGCTGAACCTCGTCTGCAGTTTTCAGTTTGTGGCTGCCTCGACCTAAGGTAGGGTTTCGGGTGTAGGACTCGGCGGTTTAGGGTTTCAGAGGTGCGATTTCTACTCGTGTTCGTTTATCCCCTACTAGTGCTTTCTCTTGGTGCCGCTATGCTGCATGCTATCCGCTTGATCTACGATCATTGTGATCACCATTTGTCATTCCAATTTCGTTTCATGTGTTCATCATGACTGTTACGGCCTTGGTGGTAAATGCTGCAATACTATAGCCAACTGTGGTACTGCTGGTCACGGTGGCGATGTTGGTGAAGGTCATGATGATGTCCCTTAAGACGGCAGTCATTACCGTCGTTATCACGAGCTTCATGTGATGGTCGTGGTCATGAGCAGCAAAATTGCTCACACAAGCAAGTAGCTCCACGTTCCCATTGGCTGTGCTGAAGATCTCACCTGCGGCTGAATGAGCAAAACCCTACACTACGGTTCTGGGTTTCCGGCAGTGCTGCTCAGCTTTCGCTAAGGTGCGACTATGCCTTGAGGACGGGCCAAATCGATTTGGTGAAGATGTACCTCTCTTGAAATGAGGGCGGGACGTATAGGGGTTCACAAAGGGTTTTCTTAGTTTCTTAGAGCGATGAATACGTTATATTGCTTCCAATCTTTGTAAGGGTTTTATTCGAGTCGCTTCACCTTGGTGCCTGTGTGCCGTGGGCTCCCATTGCAAGAAAGGTGTGGGACCTCAGGAAGATTCTGCTTCGGCGATGCTTCGGGTCCTTTAGGGGAGTTTGCAAGGTGCATTGTTTCGTGGTTGCGGGGTCCCGGTACAGAGGAATCTACTTTGTAGGTGGTGTGCTACGACACACCTGTATTGTATTGCCTAAAGCATTACTGTATATCTGACATGGTATGTTTGATGTTTTTTGCGTGAGCTCAGATCCCATGCACACAGGTACAGTGCCAAGTGCTTACATGTTTGCTAGAAACAGTTGCTTTTGCTGATATGCACGAATCTCATTTGGTCCACATATTCTGTGCTGTATGTTTGAATGCATGCAGGAAGCTGGATATTGCGATGATGTGCCAGCGCATACACATATTCAGCGCATTTGCACACTTATGTATACTCAATCTATACCCTAAAGTTTGCCCTGAAGGTCCCAAGCCCGACCCTAAGCCCTTGTTTTACCCTAGACCCAAAACCCTGGTGTTCAGTTATGTTCCTATGAGGTTGGTTTGCATGCGACTCGGCGATGGCACCCCGGTCGGGGCCCACTGCTTCAAGGAGCCTGCTTCATTATTGTAAAAAGCAAGAGCAGCAAGAGTTTAGGGTTTTGGGCCCTGCAGGGTTCGAGTTTATAGCGTCTGAGCTCGTGAGTTTGGGCCTAGGTTCAGAAAGCGTGTAGAGGAGGTAAGGGGACATTGGGCGGGGCTTCAGCCCCCAAAGTACTTCCACAACTTTCGACATTTTACGTGTGATGAATCTCAACCTCTTTGTCTCTCTCCCCCTCTCTCCCTCCTCTCTCTCTCTCTCTCTCTCTCTCTCTCTCTCTCTCTCTCTCTCTCTCTCTCTCTCTCTCTCTCTCTCTCTCTCTCTCTCCCTCCGCTTAGGTTCTATATAGATGCTGAACATTCTGAGCAAGGCTTCACGGTCCGTTTCTTGCTTCTTTTTTTGATCTGGTGATGAGGAGTCGGTCCACTCCCACCTGAAGTTGGCAGCTCAGGCGCAGGACTCGGCCTATGCGAAGGCCTGGACCATCGCGAATGTGTTTATTTATAAACGGACGACACGAGCAACAAACTGGGAATTCCAGTTTGCCATAGAGAGCATACATAGGTTGCCCATTCGCTGCTGCTTGGAGAATCCCAATGCTCCCTAAGCATTGGCTGAAACCTTGCTGGGGCTCAAATGCCTGTGTTCGACTACGTAAGGTCGTAAGGCTCGCCAGCAGCAACATGCAACATTCAACAAGGAGAGAAGCCAACGAGCAAACATAATTAACTCACTATGATGAACAACGACAACGCCGGAAGCCGCTGCGGCACCCAGCTGCCGTAATGTAGGAACCTGATTAAGGAACCCCGGGTCTATGACCCCAAAATAGTAGGATTCATATAAGGAACCCCAATAAAGGCCCAAGGTTTCTTAATCAGGTTCCTACATTATCCTTCGACGCATCGCAGAGGCCGCGCTGGCTGCGTCCGCAGATCCTCGCCAGGTCTCCGCGCGAAGTGTGGGCAAGAGGCACGGCCCATGATAAGGGAAGCCTAAGACACGCGTACATTCATGCTGCTTCAGCTCAAAAATCTCAAAACCGTCAACCCGAAGCTCCTACCCGGATGGTCCAAGATGCTGAAGCTGAAGTGTGGAGGACACCTCTCATGTGCTTCGCGGCTGGCGGCGATCTGGAAGTTTGTCAGGCGGCTTCGGGCACAGGGGTTTTTCTGAGGTGGTGGTTCACGGGTTCGCGGGTTAGAGGTTTAGGGTTGGGGAGGGTTTTGGTGATGCTAGCTTCCTGGATGCTGGTCATTGGGGATGTCGAACTTGGCCCCTAGGGGTTGGTTTCTTGGGTTTATGCGTTGAGGCAGTCGCTTTCGTTCGCCCGCCTGTGCCTGGGGTTTAGCTTGGAGTTCTCAATCTTCAATCCTTGAGCGCCTACCCAAATCATTCACCCCACAGACATCCACAGACGAAGCCCTTAACCCTGTTATTCGGGTTCTCCTCAAACGAATGCACAGAGCATGCCTTTATCCACAAGGCCTTGTTTAGAAGATGCATTCAGGCCGATGCTTCACCCTATAAATCCCTAAGACTTAAGGCCGGACCTAAGCCCCCGAAACACCTAAAGCCCCAGTGCCGGAGTTAGCTCCGGCGCCCAGGGTGTATGTCTTGACCAGGATCCATGGTGCTTGCTCGTGCCGCTCTCTCTCTCTCTCTCTCTCTCTCTCAGTCTCTCCCTCGCTCTCTTTTCTTTAACTCTCCATATATACATGGTGTACATGCATTAGGCTGTCCTATATAGGTTGTACAGCATGCATGTGTGCGCGCACGTATGCGTGTGCATGTGTGGGTGCCGGTGTCATAAGTGCATGTGTTTGTGTGTGTGTGTGTGTACATGTTATTACTCTGTGTGTAGGTGTGGGTACCTGCATGCCTGCATCTTAGTCACATTGGGCACAGAAGGCACCTAAAGACTTGAAAGTTAGATCCCAACACTGGGCCGTGCAGGCATTGGTGGAGAGCGGTGCCGAGGCAGAGCATCTTTCAGGGCACGGTTCAGGGACTCGGGGGCTGTTAGGGGCGGGCTTTGAGGCTACCTTAAACTACCAGCTCCTACTTTTTTGTAGGGTCCCCATAAATTCCATATTAGGGTTTATAATAAGAACCTACAGAAAAGTAGTAGGGTTTGGTAGTTTAAGGTAGAAGCCGGGTTTTCATCTTCAGAGCTGATACATTGCAGACTGGTAGACTCAAGGTCGATCATGCCTCAAGAGCCGAGCCCGAAAGGTGCAGTGGATCGATGGCTACTGCTGCAATGCCATCCACTACGCCCAATCCAGGAAGAGGCGAAACTGTGGGGAGTTCTCGGGGGTGTTGGGCTTTGAAGTTTTGGGTTTAGGAGTTCGTGAGGTCAAAGTTTCATCGGCAGCCCCTTTCAAGGCTTATAGTCGTGGTAGGACATCTATCAGAGTCCTCAGGAAGTAGAGGGCTTTGGGAAGTCCTCAGGACGTAGAGGGCTTTGAGAGGTCACCCTGACCTTTCACCTCACATCTTCAACGCGAAACTCCAAGAATCCCCGCATGAGCCCAAACTCCAGAACTCGTGCTTCGCAATTGCACTCTACACCCAGTTCGACAAGGCCAGCAAGTCCTGCCCTACCATCGTTTACAAATTCCTGCGAGTCGCTCTACATTCCTGTTGATCGGATGATTTTCTACTTTGCTCTCTGTTGTCTTTGGGAATGACGTTTTGTGTAAGCTTCACTTTGCGTGTAGCCGGAGTACCTTGCAGACAGAAGTCTGAGATAGAAACCGGCATGATTAGCACAGGGTTTTGGTGTCCAGCGTTTTACCAACGTCTCAAATTAGGTACATAGAGCAGGAGAGACAGAGAGAGACGCCGCAAAAGAAGGAAAGGGTCGGAGAGAGACACTGCATAGAACAGTGGCAGAGAGGGCGAAAGGGACACAGGGAGAGGGGACAGAAACCTGGCTCATGACCTGCGACGCCGTCTCTGCTAGCGGCTACCAATGGGCCAGTAGGCAAGTTTGGTTTTTCGTCGATCTGGAAAGGTCAGACGTGGTGGAGTACTTGAAGAGCGTTCGAGTCGTTACGGAGGCACGTGCAGCTTGTAGAACTCTGCGAAAGCATGGGGCAATGACTGCCGCAATCATCGTATGTGTTCGTAGGTTTTAAGTGGATCATCGTATTCCATAGTATAGCAGTGTACCATAGTATGTCATAGTGTCGTCATCATGGTGTACCATTGCACCATACTAGGTTACCGCATAGTCGGGTATATTACCGAAAGTGATATGTAGTATATCACCGCATAACTTGATAGAGAGAGATTCCATTCTTAGGAATCGAGTCGCAACTTCGCAGCTGGGACGATGGCACACTTGCTAGCAATACGGTCAGCACTTAGCTTAAACTCTGGGGGCATTTCACGGGCCATTATGTGGAGTGTAAATCTAGAGTTTTAGGGATGTCGATTGCCAGGTTCCCAACCTATGGGGGCCTTGGGCACCGACCGGTAGGAGTTCACAAACCTCGGGATTCCAGGCCTCGAAACCCTGCAGCCTAAATCGGGGTTTCCGAAAATGGGGTCCTTATAACAAGGATCCTACTATTTAGGGTACTATATTCAGGTCCCCTATTTTTGGAAACTCCTTTTATCTGCGAAATTCCACTGTACACGCGAAACCTTAATTTAAAACCAGACACCTACACCGAAGTCGGACATTGTTGAATTTGAAGCATCCCGGGATTAACCCGCACCCTGCTGTCTCTTAATTCGACCCGAAACCTTCTTAGTTGCGTGGGGAACATGATGTGTTCAATCTCTCCTTATAACCGACCCAGACTACGGAGCCTCTCGGAATCCCGGGGCTCTGCAAACATCTGCGAATAGAGCCGAGTTTGATGAATCGCTGGATCTCAGAATCTCAGACGGTGGATCTTCGCCAGGTGCCGCTGAAGCACACCTGCGCGCAGGATGTGACACAGTACCTCCTGAAAGCAGTCCAGGACGCTAGAAGCAAGGGTTGGGTCAATTCGGAGGGCGATGATGGCTGCTTCTGTTGCTGCTGCTGCTGCTGCTGCTTGTGAGACTTGTGGAAAATGCTTGAACAGATTGTCGAACGAGATGCCCTGCCCACCTCAAATCCTATTTCCTGGAGCGCTTCAGCCACAGTGTTGCGCTAAGCTTGTCATTAGCTAGACTGTAGATTTTGGACCCGGGAAGAGAAATCACTAGCAGCAGCACGATTCTTTGGAGCTGCATTCGCCATAGATTCACCATAAATGTCCGCGACGTAAGCTTGCAAGCGAGAGAGAGACAGAGAGAGAGAGAGATAGATTGATAGAGAGAGCGGCAGAGGAGAGAGGGAGACAGGGAGCGAGGGAGAGAGGAGCTAGACAGAGAGAGAGAGAGAGAGAGAGAGAGAGAGAGAGAGAGAGAGAGCAACAATCGGGGGGATTGCTAAACAGCACTCGAAGTGGACACGATCGGTTCTTGAGCCATAGAGCCGTCAAGCATGAACAGTTACATCCAAGACAGCAGCATACAGACAGACGGGGAGCCGGCGGGCAGAGAGTCGCATAGGACGGGTGCTGTGGTGCCGTGCATCGGGCGGCGACGCACATTCGGACTTTGCAGGCCGTTGATGCTTGCAATTTACAGATTCGGGATCTTGAAGACTTGGCCTTAAGATCAACACGGCGACGAGTTTGAGGCCTCGAACTAACCTCAAACATGGAATACCCATGATTTAGAACGTCGATGTTTAGTGATACCAGGGTGTGGGTGCTCGCTTGTGCATTTCAGGACTGGTGGTTTTTGTCTGCCTAGTCTTCCACGCTACAGCATCAAACCCAAGGCCATGCTTGTGGGCCCCGTCCAGCCTCCGACGTAGATTCTAGGTTCTAGGTCCAACATTTGGTGGGCTCGGGTGCAGAGCTGCACTCATTAAACCACGGATGTGGAGAAAGCCGCTGGAGTGCAGCTACCGGCAGTAGAAGCAGCGTGCACCCGCGTATAGGTCTGAAGCCTGCAGATATGCACACGCGGCTTTCAGCGACACTGTTTGGAATTAGGATGTTTTTGTGTAGACGCACATACATACACTGCTCCTGCACATACAGTACTGGGTGCCAGTCTGTACATGCAGGGCTGTGCATCTGCCCAGATTTGTTGTTCTGTTCTATCGCTCAAATGTCTCATTGCATGGGCATAGACCATCCGAACCGTGACCCTACGAAACCCTGCACTGCCCTGAGATCAGTCGTGGGGGTTAGGGGTCTCATGTTGGCAAAGAGATCAGGCTTACTTCTAGAGCCTTGTGACTGGTGGGACCTCGGAACTTTCTTAGAAATATGCTCAAAGCTGACACAAGTCCTTTAAGCCTACAGACAAATTTTAAGAAATATAGGGGCCTTAGTGAATAGAACAGGGTTTGGGGTTCCTTTTTATGGTGTAACTTACCCCCCCAAAACCCTATTCTAATTGTTAAGGCCCCTATAGAATTCTTACGACAAAATCCTAAAACCATAAACCCTAGACCCTAAAAAGTAAGCGCGTGGCAAGGACGTCAGCAGTCGCAAAAAAAGGTGCTCAAAATAAATAAGCGCGCGCACAGGCTTTGATCGCAGAGGAAGATGAGAAGCCTCAGCTTCGAGACGTTCTGAGGCAGGACAAGCCTCGCCAGACGGTCATTGTTGTGACAATTGTAGTATAGGGGCCTTAATCACTACCTATACTATTTTGGGGGTTCCTTAGTGTAGTTACAGTATAGTCATTGCTCACTGTAACTCTGGGTTAGTTCGTCTCACGTCGGTAGTCTCAACTAAATTAGTGCTTCTTCGTGTCGCTAGCTTTCACTCTCCTTCTCGTCGGCATTCTTTTCACACTGGTTTTGTCAGATTTGCGTGGAGTTCTTTCAAGGTGGCTTCCGGTGCAAGTATTATTTTTATGCTTGCTAGTCTTGTAGTTCTTGCCTTTGGGGTGCCTTTGAAAATACAGGCATGGCCTCATGTGTACCTATATAGCCTCAAGTACATAGATCATCAGTACAACCAGATGGCCACAAGAGAGATCGGAACAAGACTGACAGGCATGGGAAGGCAGACAGATGGACCCACAAACAAACAGGCGAACATTGGGAGAGGCACTACACACAGAGACACGCACGGCCACACAGTCAGGGGTGTCATTTGATGTTGAAGTCCTGAAGCCTTTAGGCCCACCTCGATCCCAGCCTTAATCCCCACGCTCTACACCCTTCGACCGTAAGCCCCGACCTCCTGCGCCAGCCCGAAGTCCAAAACCCCTTCGACTCAAGCCTAATCCTCTTCCAAAAATCGACCCCCTAAACCCTAAGGCTCATAAATAGGGTTTAGGGTTCAATAGGATTCCCACGCAGGTCTCGCTTCCAATTCGATCTGACCTTGCTCCACTTCGCCGTCAAAGTCGTCGCGAATGTCGATCCGGCGGGACAGGCGCCAGACAGGGCTGCAATAACTTGACTAGGTATTTCTGAGCAGGGGAGGGTCTCATAGCAAAACTATATATTGAGTCGATTGCGGGATAGTTACACATAACTACAAGTTTATGAATCAAGCCTCAGTTTTATTGGCGTCAGGGTTCGTTTGGGGTGTTGGCTCTGTGCGGCACGTTTCTAAAGCAGTTGGGCTACTGGCAGTGGTTTCGTTGCTGTAATATTCTATTTTCCTACATTGGGTATCGAGATTGATTTGACTTCGGTTGAAGCCTGTGGCAGGGGAATTGCTGTAGGATTCAGCAGCAAGACTTCCATGTGCGGGCGCAGCCCGAGATAAAACTCCCAAGCTTCTTCAGCCACTCATCCGAGAATCTCAGAAAATGAGGAATGCCACCCTAAACCCAAAACCCAAACCCCTAAACCCTAAACCTTACACCCTAACCCTAAACCCTAAACCCTAAACCCTAACCCTAAACCCTAAACCCCAAACCCCTACATAGTGGGACAGGGACCCCGGGCTTACAAATGCCCCGTTGTAAAGCAAGGCCCACTTGTTACGAATATAGGGGCCTGAAGAATTACCTATGCCTATAGTATTTTGGGGGTTCCTTTTTCTAGTCTTTAATGGTAGTATAACAATAGTATTAGTATTCTTATTAGTAATGATAATAATAGTAGCAATAATAATACTAATAGTAGTAATAACAATAATAATAGCAATTGTAATAGTAATTAATAATCATATATTCGCCGGCCTGAAGGTCTGCCTGGCCCTGCTCACGGCCAAGGACAGCTTGAAACCTTGCGGGTGCAGATAGGGTTCAGGGTTAAGGTTGTCAGGGTTTGTGTCTAGGGCGTAGGGGCTTTGGGTTTGGGGTTCCGGTTTGAAAGGTGAACGTTTAGGGTTCGGGGCTCGATGGTCGGTTGTGACAAAGTCATGATCGACTCACATTACATGAAATGGTTCGTGCCTGCTCTTCAATTCAACATGAATGAGTCTTAGTAGTTGTTATCGGTTCCTGTCCCTGTTTGTGTTTATCATTTGGTTACTGGTTTGCAAACTAAAAAGTTTGTTGAGACATAATTCATGTACTTCTCTAAATGAGGGTTCCTTGTCGGGTCCCAACAATGGAAGGAATCCTAATTTAGAGTTTGGAGAACAACCGAGATGGCTAAATATTACATACTTGATTTTAGGTACT